TGTGAAGCGAATTTATTTACACTGTTTTCAAATGTAACCCAAAAATTTTATGTCAAATATAATTATATGCGCTAAAAAATCAGGCAGAAATGATTGTTACCAGAGTACTGATCACACGCTTGCTGTAAAATCGAGGATGTGAAATTAAACAGTTTGACATCAAAATTTTGCCTGACAGTGTATTGGAACCTTTTTTTTTTGTATTTTGGAAAAAAAAAAGAATGAATCAGTGAGGAAAGAGATGAAAAGCAACACAGTATTACGGGAATGGCCTAAACGCGATTGCTCTGACTACACTCAACAGTATATAGACAGCGGCCTTATAGAAGATAATCGAACAATCAAGGAAATTTGCGAGAAATTTCTTGAAGTCTGACAGTACAGATGTCTCAATAAATTTTATCACTTTAAATTTTTTTTTTGCGTGGTTTAAAAGGCCTAAAATTATTTAGTGTTTTCATCCACTCGAAAAACCGTTACGTTAACTTCCCACAACAATTCCTGCCTTAAAAACGCAGCTCTCTACAGGGTACCTCAAGAGAAAAAAGAAAATGTGGATGTTTTTAATGTAGTCACATGTCCACTCAGAGTAAAAACTTGTTTCTGACATAGTACATCAATCCCATTAGATGCAAATAACAAAGAAGGCTCGATTTTTTTTTTCACTTATTTTATTCATCGTTTATGAATTTCAATAATCTTTTACTGGCTTATTTCTCCATAACTACCGAGAATAGCGTTGATAATTAGGAATATATGGAAAACGTGTGAAATATTGAAGAAAATTTTTCGAAAAAAAATGCTGTTTCTAACAACAACGTTATAGATTGTCGCAAAGCAACTCCTTACAACGAGATAGAACTGAATAATGATCATGTATTCACGGAAATTTGCATAATATTGCAAAACTGATCTTTGCCTCGCGGGAAAAGTAAATATTTACCAAAGGTCTGTTTAAAAATGCGATTTTCTTACTCAATTCAACGGCTGAATTTTAATCCGAAATGCAGTCATTTTTGTTTCGAATAGCCGGTCATAATCAGTAAGTGTATGAAAAAAATTTGATTGTCTCCAACAATATTCTTTTTGCTTTTCCTTCCGCGATTAACTCTTAAATAAGCCAGTGTGGTTCCACTGGTGTTTCGCCGTTTCGAGTCAATTTTCTATTATTCGTCGAGTTGTTCGCGATTTTCTATCAAGGAGCCGTTCAATTAAAAAAGGCAGACTCACGAAAGATTCCAAAAACACTGCTGGAGCAGGTGTATCTGGCGCAAAAAAGCTCTTAATTTTCCGTGTTATCTTTCTGGACGCAAATGTTTTCAATTTCAAACACATTAAAGACTAAAAATAAAACCTTCAAACTGCATGCTGACCGGCTGTTTAGCTCTTGTTCCACAATAATCGATCACAGACATAATCCTGAAGGATTCTAATTTTAAACAACTTCCTCTTTTCGAGTTTATTCTGCATCACAAAGCCTAAAAATCGCCAATTTTCACAAGAGATACTTTAATTTTGCGAGACTGACCCTCTTTTTTAAATTGTCATCTTCGCGTTAGGTTTAGAGCAACAGACAAGGAGATTTTTGCGATCTCGTTCGATTCGCGGTCCTGTGTAAAGTAAAAGAAGTTTAATATTCATAAAGCGAACTAAGAAAGACGATTAGATACCAAGATAATTACATTATTGTGCACTTCTTGTCCTTTTTTGAGGCACTACTCGATGACTTGCTAGCTTTCGTATTTCCAGTTTTTTTCTGGCCTTGTTTTTCAGTCGTTGTAGTCACGGCCTCGTCTAAAAGTCGTTTTCCAGGCTTCTCTTTGCTGGCTTGAGTATTGGCTTTTCCGCCACCATTCCCCGACTTTTTGTCCTCCTTTCGCTTTTCTTTATACGCTTGTTTCGTCTCTGCGGCTAGTTGCTTTTTGTAGTCTACAACTTCTTTCGAGTCGCGGCGCTGAAAATTATCCTCATCTGGCAGATCTAGAAATGGTGCTTTCCTTCGCACATTTGGGGAAGGCTTCGGACTGCTCCGAGGAGATGTCCGCGGACTCAGAACAAGCCGATTACAGGATGCAGCAACGGTAGATGTAATGGGATTCATTTCCAGCGCCACTGAACACAATTCAAAATTCTCACAATTAACCAACTCACGTTTCTTCCCGTTGAGTAATAGACGTTGAGTTTTTTCCTTGAATTATTCTCCACTAGCCAGTTGCTCTCTTTATGGCCGTCCCTGTTTACATCTGTAATATGTGAAATTTATAACAAAACTCATAGACGTATATAGTCAGAACGCCTCCCCCGTAAAGCGTAATAAACAAACTGTTTTGTTGCTAAAACTGGAAAATGATCTCAGATTAGGCTCTCTTGTTTTGAGCTATTCCAAGTGGATCAGAATTATAGTCTGTACTAAAGCCGGTAATTGCCACCTGATCCGTGATCCAGCTAGTTTCAAAACAAAGTCAGGTTTTCTCCGCGATATAAATTTCCATTTATGATCGACTATGAGCGGACAATTATATCAATGGCTGACGTCAAAATCTCCGAGTACTTGAACTCCCTCGCGCAAATACTCGCAGAACAGACCACGTTTGCGCATATTACCTACGCCTGTCGACGACAAATTAGCATTTTGATTCAAAATCAGTTTTCATTTGCTCTGCCGAAGACATTGCATGCCGGTTTCCAACCCAAGCTACATTAAGCGTTTAAGAGATAAGCTGCAGAAAAAGACCAATTTTAAAAAAGCGTCGGGTTTTTTTGAAAAGCGTCTGATAGCCGAACAAGGCCGGTCTCTTTATTAGGAGTTGAAAAGTTGCTGTGCTTTCAAAAGGTCGAAAAACATAGCGAAAGTAATTCTCGGCTGTCATTTTGTGGTCTCCCTTTCAAGTGTCTATACTGGATGTCAATTGTGGCCGAAATGTTTAATTTAGTTTGTCGAATTTATCATACAAAGCAACGAAAATACATCGTGTCTTACCGCTCAACATATTTATTTTTCCTATCGTGACTAGACAGTCTTCGGAAAAATTGTCCAATTTAACAACCTCAAAAAAATTAACATATACAATATTCCAAATGGACTTTTGTCTCGCGACAAAGGAAAATCTTGAACGTAGAGACACTTAAACGAAAGTACAAAATCAAACAATGCCTGTCAAATCGCGACCGAGTTAAAATACACCACAACGGAATTTTACATTCACAATCCACTGCGATGATAAATTATACAGATATATTTTTGGTACTGTTTTCGAGAATGGTGCTATTTAATGCTCTTTTTTAACAAAAATATATTGACAATAAATTAAATATTTCTAAACAATGAATGTTTTCAGGTCAAAACAGACATTTATGGACTCAATTGCAATTTCCACGTTTCGTGTCATGCTTCCAATTGTAAATTTTAAAATTCACCAACATCACGAAGCCGTATTTCGCCATTTACTCTCGCTGAAACGTCATATGAGTTTACTTAATGAACATTTTAAAATCTCTTTAAGTCTTTAACAGTGAGAATAATAAAATCTGACATCGATTTCAAACGGTTTGACTCAATTTGTTCCGCTTGAAAGGTGCATGTATGAACTGAAACCAATCCTTGAATAAATAAAAGATGAAATTTATCTTTGTATAAAAGCCTCAACTGCACTAATTTATCGCATTAACTTTGATTAGCTGAATAATGAATTATATTTCAATCTTTTAGGAAATAGATTTAAGCCGGCATATTTTCTTTTTTTAATCGGCTATTTTGAGAAAATGCGTCAAAATATGAACTATAAATTACATGAATAGCCCGCTCCATTGTTTCGTTCACTCTCTAATTTTTCGTAAATACATACGTACATTTAACTGATCTGTGTAAATGCAAATATCAGAACACGAATTATCGTTGTTTTCCAAGTAGTCTTCACAATGAAAATCTTGTTTTTTACATCATTAAGACGCACTGTGGTAGATATAGGTTAAAAAAAATTTTCCTGAACAAGCTAAATCTCAAAATTTGGGAAACCACTTTCCGAATTTAATTATTTTTGTTTTATTTATCTTATTTTATTCAATTCTTTTCTCGGAATGCATTCCCTAGAATGCAAAATTAGCTCAATGAGAATTTTATAGTTTTTTTGTCTTATGCTTTCCCAAAATGATTCTGTTACCAGTGGCTTGAAATAGCCGTCAACAATGGCGGTATGTTTTCATTTTAAACTATATTGTGGTCACTACACGAGTGCGCACATCTGTGATATGAGAAAAATAAGGTATAGAAATACGTGGTTTGTCGCTTCCTGCAATGTTCTAAGATAAACCAATGATATCATTGTACCACAAAGCTTGAATGGGCCAATGGCTTTAACTCTTTAACTCCCAAGATCTGATTGTTAATTCTCCCCTCTAGCCGCTACACATTTGCGTTTAAAATAGTTACAAGAATTTGGTTTTAAATCACGATTACAATTTCTACCAGATAAGTTTGAATATTCTCATTACCTGTTTACTGGATACTGAATGGATATTATAGGGAGAGGTTCCATGTTGATAACTTGTGGGAGTGAAAGGGTTAACTCGATGAAACCAGAGTTCAGTTGACTATACTCATAAACGAGTTTTCAATTACGCGTTTAAACACCAAAACCAAAGTTATCGCAGTCACCAATCAGAACAAAGGTTACATCATCTTTAACCAATGAAAATTCAGCTAATAACGGGCAACCTGCTTGAAGCGCGGGAAACGCGAGAGACCAAGAAGCGATTTGCTTTAGTTTTGCATTTGATTGGTTGAGAAAGTGGCGCAATCACAAAGCGAAACAAGACAAAACCAAATGAACCCAGGATCACTTTAAAAACTCAATTGGAAACTTCTCTAATAAGATGTCTCAACGTTTTTTGGGATAAGTTTCCTTTTTTCCTTGTTTCTTTGTTTTGTAACATCTAAGGGGCTTGCGAAGTTGCGTGGTAGTTACAAAGCGCATTTACAAGGGAGCAAACCAACTGCTAACTGAAGTTGAGAAGCATTTTTCTTTTAATACCACTCAAATTTAAATTTTTTTAAACAAGCTACGTACTGTAGAGTTAACTATTGAGATTGCATTTGTACACTTCCGCGAGCTGTTACATAAATCTCATCCCTTCCCTGCTCGTAGCAATCGCCTTATTGTTGTTATATTGCGTCGTTTTCTGTTTTTCAGTCTGTCTTTCTTTTCCTCTAAGTATTTCTTACGCCGTGTGCATGTTCATTCAGCTGTCCTGCAACGTCACTTTGCCGCACATCCGGGCCAGTAAGCCTGACAGCTGTAGCAAGCTGTTTACACCCTCCACTATTCTCATGTGCGCGTAACCAATTTCCTGTGTGATGAAATAGATAAAAATATAATAGACAAAAAACTTTATTGTCAGCTAGTACACATTTTGGTAACAATTTTTAAGCCATTTAAGACGGTTTTCTCCAAACCAGACTTAGGAAAGCGCGAAGTGGACAACGTGAAGGTTTCCAGGCAACAACGTACAATATACAGCTGAATGGACAAGTATGACGTACGAGAGTGTTCCAATAAAGCTGCTATTCAGTCACCCAGGCCGACTTAAAGGCGGCTCTGAAATTGTTTTTAGGCCATTTCACCGACAAAAATAACTTGAACACGCTTTCTTGTGAGGCATTTTTATAACTCAATACACCTGTATACTACCATCGTAAAACTGATAACCTCCAGTGTGGAAAAAACACTCGATTTTACCCTTTACACACTAACATCAGTATGCATATTCTCCATACTTTTCTCTATACATTTCCTAAGGTGCTGACAAGGAGAATGTGGTTAAAAATTAAGAGCTTCTTTAGCTGGTGATCATTTCCTTTATTCTTGTAACCTTAATGTGTGATTCACGGATGATATCGTAAGGAGAATTTAGATGCTTGTCACTCTTAGGAGCTTAACAGCTAAGATTGCACAGCCCTTTTTTACTTCTGTGTAACATGCCCTCCCTGCGACTGTCCCCAGTGCATGGCCACCTTAACATTAAGTCTTACCTTAATAAACTCCAGTTTAAGATACTCTGACATTTGATAGTTCTTGCACACTCGGAAGATGTTGGTTATAATGTCCTCTGGAGCATATCCCATGTACCATAAATGTGAGAGAACCTTATAAGCCTCGTCAATATCCCCTGTTGAACATGACTTGATCATCTCTCGAATCAACAGAGGATGCGGTTCATCACAAACCTGAAACGTGCAAAAGAAATGCGTTGTTCAATTTGAAGCTTTACCTTCCCCCCCCTCCAGGGGCAAATCCCCAGGCATTTGAACTTTTTAGGATTTAGACCCTATAGACCTTTCTTTCTGAGCCACTCACTCGCGAAAGTGAACTTTTAACATTAAACATCCCCATATCTGGTGATATAACACTTGTATTCTGCTGGAAAGACTCGACATTTCCGGTTCAAATTCCCCACCCTACGAGTGGAATTGCATGAAGTTCAGGACCATTCAGGACGTGAAGTAACGAAAAATCCTAGCAATCCCTGTTTTCTTTCGAAAACAAAATTTTCTCAAAGGTGCAATAATCCATAGGTGTAGCAGATGAAAGCGCGGGAAAGCGCAACGGAAATGTTGCGCATACCAAATCAATCCGACAATGACTGGTTTCTTCCGCACCTGATTGACTTATATGAAATCGCATTAACGGCTTGGCTCTTCTTGTGTCGTTAAAATGTTTACACTCCAACATAAATACTTGAACATGGTATTCAGCGGTAACGAAATGGAGATAAGCAACTGTAAAATATTAGTTAACTGGGTTTTATCGCCTGAGCTGGGTTACGTTGCCCCTTCGTCAGAGCGAATGACGAAGGAATAACGCTTAGAAACTCTACGCGATGGCCGATTTATATTATCAACTCAGTTGATAAAACCAAATTACCCTGTTATACTCCCCCACCGACGCAGCACCACAGCTTCTTTAGAAACGTACCCCCTTTATTCATTTGTAAAATCTTATTTTTGAAAGAAATATTACCTTGAATACATTTTCACTGTTCACAAATCCAAATCCATAAAACGTAGATTGCAGGTTGTTTATCGCCTGAAACAAAGAAGCACATATTATTCATTTCAAACTATGGTGAACTTTTATCCAGGCCATCTCCTTTGCGATTAAAAATTGTCAATCTTGGCTCTCTGTTTTTCGGATTTAATCGGATATTGAAAGCAATTTACCAAGATCCAGAGAATAAAACAAATTAAAAATTTTTTCCATACCTGTCGCATGTCGCCCTGAGCGGTGAACACAATTGCTTCCAATCCATCATCCGTTTTGGTGACCTGATCACAAATGGAAATATTGAAAACAAAATTGATTAAATGACTTATTAAATAACAAAGAAGAAACGATTTTCAAAAGTTAGAAAACTCTTCAAGAAATCTGAACAAACCTGCTCCTTTTCACAAACTTCTAACAGTCTGTGTAAGACTTGAGCATCGGTTAATCTTGAATATCGTAAAACAGCACATCTGGATTGGATCGCCTCTGACAAAATAACATTACTAAATTCATCATTGATGTACAGCAAGGCTATTACATTTACATTTGCACAAGTAAATTGAAAAGGTTTAAGACTTCTGTAAATCCTTTACCTGCCACATAACTGTCTATACAGTAGCTTGAGCAAGAAGCTGATAAACTGCATAGCCAGGTGTATGACAAAAATTTCAAAACGTATTGAAAATTAAATCAATGGGATTAAAGTAAGCAAAAAGGCTGAAAGCTCAAAATCAACAAAATAGCCTGCCCCCCCCCCTTCCAGCTCTCCCCAACCTAATAAGCTGTGTAGGCTATTTTTTTGTGATACAGCTCGTATATCTCAGTAAGTTTACAATACACACCAATAATTTTCTCAGAAGTGTTGCAAGCCAGAGCAAAGCGTGTAGTTTTGGAGTAGATCTCCATTGTCCTTCTCAGAGCCTGCTGTGCACCATCAGTCATGCTACAGAGAAAAAGCAAAACAAGCTTATACCCCAAGGAATGTGTTATCTTCCAATGCTATATCCACTGTGCCAGAGGACTTTTGGTCAGGAGTGTGACAATATTGGTCAATATTGGTCAATATTGATAGTGTTGTAAGTTGTAACATGTTAGCCTTGTTTTCAGGAATTAAAATTTGTCTGTTGTTGTTGAACCACCATCAGGTGCTCAGGTTATTTTGTGTTCTCCAGCTGAATCCACTGGTAGTAATTGTTACAAGGAGGGTAGCTGCAGTGGAAGTTGAGGGATTACCTGTTTGTTAATTTAGTTTTTACAACTATCTTTTTTAAAGCTCTGTCTCTTTGCAAGATAGTCATTTTTGGCAAAATCAATTCACCCTAATGCATATTATGCCATGAGCTTGAAATTAAAATATCATGATTGTGAGAGTAAATAATATAAATATTTTCATGTAAATCTACGATGTATTCAAAACTAATAAACATGATTTTTCATATCTTCTTCACAGTCACTTTGAAAATGCAAAAGAGGCTCTTGCCACTCTAGCAACAAATATACCTGTTCACTATTTTTCTACTCACTGTTAATAACAGGACAGACAGTGAGAGACATTGACAACTGGGAAATGCTGGAATAGTTAATCTCAAAATTGTTATTACAGGATGTAAGAATTCAGATTTGATTCTGGTTTTCAAGGAGGAGCTTATAAAAAGGATAAAATACTCCAATGGCCTGCAATAGACATACCTGTCTGCTTCATCCAAAATTATAATTTTGTGCCTGCCTTTCGGTAAAGTAACTTTCTGCTGAGCAAACATCTTAATCTTGTTACGCACGACATCAATTCCTCTGCAATGAAAAGAGATTAACATGATTTTAGCTTGTTTGCAACTGCTTCAATCACTAACAGTAGGAGACAGTCCAAAGTCTACACACTTAACTTGCAAAGTATATCTGAAAGGTTGAATGAAATTGGATTGTGGGCGACTAATATCAAATTATAGATCTGATACATACACATGCACACATAGGGCAGATGGGATGGAGAACCTGAACAGTATATTTGCTTTGTAACCTTCACATAGCAAGCCTTTACAACAAACATTAGAGGTACTTTGACATGTCTGCACTACTCTTTGAGGTTGGCAAAGGGTCTATAAGTGATGCATGGTTCAGGCCTAACAATCAATGTGATTTGTAAAGAATTTATGAACCAGAGTAAGGTGCAATTAAAAATATGACTGACACATGATTTTTTTCCTTAATTTTTTTGAAATTTCAAGATTTCCCTTTTTTTTTCCTGAGATTCTCTTTAAAACATATCCCATCTCCTCTTTGTTACACTTCTCTTTCATAATAGAAGACAGATATAAAAAGTTCTGCAAAACAAATCAACAAATAGGTGAATATGATTCTCAAATTCTCAAGTAACATCATGGTTTTAATACCTGTCATTAGATGCGTTCAGTTCAAGCACGGCATCTTTGAATGAAGCTCCCAGAAGTGCCCTTGCCAGACATAAAATACTTGTAGTTTTTCCTGTACCAGGAGGACCCTGGAGAAAAGAAAACAAAGTCACCTCAACATGGTGGAGAACATTACCTACCAAAAAAAAGTTACCTTCTTTCAATCAACATTATTCGCCATCAAAAATTATCTGTCAGGTTGAAAGAAAAAATATGACCATAGCATAAGTTGTTATTTAAAGCCAATTACATACTGCAATGATGATGTTTGGAACATTTCCTTGTTCGGCAAAAACCTAAGAAATACAAAAAAAATTGAGTATTCTCAATACATGTTTTTTAGAGAAAGAATGAATATAATTATTACATAAAGAAGCTACATGTTAATCACTTTTGGGGGTTGAAGGGTTTATAACTTTCTGGATCATGCTATTCACCTTTTGAATTCCTAAGACTAGCATACTACTACTTCAATGATACTGATACATTTTGTTGCCTTAATCAGATCTAACACCTCTCACTAATCCAGTTTGAGGTTGTACTGTAAGTTGCTGCAAGTAACAAAGCACAGTGGGTATAAATCTGAGTGGAAAAAAAGGGTGCCACAGCTTACCACTCAGAATGAGAAACAAGGTTAGCAAGAAATTTATTATATCTCTGCATTCAAAAAGAGGGGAATGATTTCAATTCTAACAGACTTTTGAATTTAGCTACCACACAGTGAAACTGACCAATCATTGCACCCACACTGACTAAAAGATATAATGATAAACACAGTATACAGTAACTCTAGTCTAATAAATATCATGAGGCTGGAAATGGAAAGGCACCTGTTTGTTGGCCAAAAACTCTAGTTCTGTTATGTTGCCATGGACATGTGTTGTATCTCTTGTTAAAAATAAAATAAAATATATTTGAACAAAAACAGACTCTAATCAAAGACTTGTTGTGTAAACAAATTACCTCTAGGCGGCTAACAGTTTCTTCATTTCCAACTATTTCGTGAAGTTTAGTTGGTCTGTATTTTTCCACCCTAACAAAGAGGAATATTTTAAAAAGGATACCCACATTAGTCAGCCCTCAATATATTTTATTTGGTTAGATTTTCCTGTATGATCTAGGCAGGTTTGTTAATCCATGATTACATGCAAACTAAAATCAGTGATTGTTTGATTAAACATTTTTTAAACAATCAGCAAAAGAAGACACTCCCATGTGAGTTTCCAAAGTTAGAGAACACTACAAGTACAAGGGTCTTGGAAACCAGGCAGACTTAGAACTTGACATGATATATGCAATATGCACTGCAGATGTCAACTACCCACATTACTGTATATTGATTGAATGCTCTTAACCAACCAGATTTTTTTTATAGTAAGTCTAATGTGTAATAAGAAATATTGTTTGATTTAGAACTAAATTCTCACGGGATTCTCAAAACTAAAATTATATCAAATGTATCACAATTGGTAAGGTTTAACCCTTTAACTCCCAAGATCTGATTGTTAATTCTCCCTTCTGGCTGCTACACGTTTCCTAGTAAATTGGCTACAAGAACTTGGCGTAAGATCAAGATAACAACTTCTAACAGATAAGTTTGAATATTCTCATTACCTGCTTGCTAGATAATGTATGGATATTGTAGGGAGAAGTTACATGTTAATCACTTGTGGGAGTTAAAGGGTTAAGTAATCTTCAGTCCAAAAGAGTTGTGCAATTTTTGAAAATGTCAATATTATGGATCAATTGGCTCAATTTTTCCCCTTGGAATGATAATTTATCCAGCTGGCATTGGCTGGCATGAGATCATAGTTTTCAATCAGTACAGCTAAAAAACCTGCATACTTTACATCTCCAAGAAAAATACCCAAGAAAATGAAGGAAAAACTATGCAATTGGAATCCATCATCATTGAGAAAATTCCATTACTAGTCTGATTGACACCCAGATTTGATCATTTACATCAAAGTTTAATTTTTCATCATGTTCCTACTCTGGAAACAATTTAACAAGTGAGCACCTCTAACTTAACCCCTAAGAGTGACTGGCATCTAATTTCTCCATACAACATCACCACTGAATCACACATTCATGTCATGAGAGTAAAGGAAATGATCCCCAACTAAAGAAACTCTTGATTGTTAGACAAATTTTGGGACACCCACTCAATTAGTTCTTAGAACTATTTGGGTGTCCCAGACTCCACACAATTAACATAGTATTTAAACATTCTTTTCGTCCTGTCCTTCCTTATTTCTTAGATATCCTTAGTAACAATGAATTGTAAATTATTTTGCTCCTTTTTTTCACTTCCTCGTTGTACTGTATTCTTTATATTGATGTTTGTAACACTAAGTACTGTAATAATTATAACCTTCTCTAATGCACTGTATTCGTGTGAATTTAAATAAAACTGAATTGAATTGGATTGAATTGACAAATTCTCCTTGTCAGCACCTCCGTAAATATACAGAGAACAGCATGTAGAGTATGAATACTGACGTTCGGGTACCAGATTCTTTTACATTTTCTTGGTAACTTACCACGGCAGTTCGAAACTTTTAGAGCTTTTCCCAGTACTGCTTCCTGCACCAGATGATCCTTTACTTTTTGCCTTCTCTACTTGTGGTGCATCGATCTCCATTGCCTCGTCTTTAAAACTTTTCGAGCTGGTTGTCGCTGATTCCACGTCCATCTCGTCCGCCATCTTGTTTGTGTCACGTGCGAATAATTTGGCGCCAAAAATTGAACTCGGTTCCAATTTCCCGCGATTTTCGTGCTGTTATGGTAACAGTAAAGCACGCGACTTTCGCAGGTTTTTCTCTTCACGGCAAAGGTTCGAAACCCTTGGGGCTTTTAAATTTCCTCTTTGAAGTTACAAGCTTCTCTTGTGGGCTAAAGAATATGAGCATTCAACACTGAATATTTTTCAGCGTATGAAATTGAACAGACCGTCAAAACCCAAACAACAGTCAACTGATAACAAACTAGGGTTAATGTTGGGTTACTGTCAGTTTTGTCAATTTCCATCACCAATAGGGGAGGGGTAGGTGCGCAGATGCTAAGACATCAATTAGCGAGGAAAATATTAAAAACATATATTTAGGACAAGTCCACTTCTAACAAGTACACTTCTGACATACTGACACTGATCTGTTGATTGTTCAAGGATTTATTTAATTTGTCGTCGCATTTTTGTGACGGATCACAAACTTCCAATTCCAAAGGATCTCATGAAGGAAAGCATGAAATAAGATCACTTGTGAAATCAGTTTGGATTTCACAGTTCATGACATTATGACGTCACATTATCTCTTGCAAACACGAAGTCGTAGTATCAAAGCAACACAGACCATGTTTTAAAAAAGAAAACATTTTCTGTGTCAACACGAATTGTACAGCCACGACCTGCAAACGGACAGACTGTAAACTAACCTTTCAAAGGTCTCCTAAGAGATAATGAAGACAGTTCTCGCTAAAAGTATTTATCCTTACGAATGCTTTTGTTTTAAAATTCACTTTAAGGGTAGTCATGCCAGCACGGACACAGCACAATGGTTTTGAACAATGCGCAATCGATTATTAACATATTCCTCAAAAATTATCGCCCTTTCTAAACAAAAAGACCAAACAAAAGATTCTTTCAAACATTAATGAGTCCTTGAGATGCCAAAGAGCATGTTCGCAGTTCATTTACGGATTAAAAGACTTACGAAGCAATTGTCATGGAGTAGAAACTATGCCGATAACGAGATGGGATTTTAATTACTGGACGCGTTGCTAAAAATAAGCAGGTTAGACGTGGCTTTATCTTAAGCTAAGCTTTGGTGAATTTGCGTCGAATTTTCTGAAAGAAGAACTTGAATCTAGCTCTAACCGACTGGAACGAACGCAATAGACATCATGCCTCAAATAACCGCAAGCGATGTCAACTTGAGTTCATCAGTCATAAAAGCACGTCCTTCTGGAGACAGTAAAGCAGCGAGAAATGAAGACAAAAGTTTTAAAGGACAAGTTTCAAACGAAGAGGAAAAAAAGTTATCTGAGAATGATGGACGCCATGATGTATTAAAAGACATCAGAACTGAAGACTGCCTAAAATTACCAACTCTAACAAAAGCTACAAAACACAACAACGGTGTAAAGAGTAGAGTTGAAGTTCTTTTAAAAAGAAGACAATTTTCTGATCTAACAATTCACCAACTGAATTCAGATTTGTGTAGAAAACATAGGGAAAATTTGTCATCGTCGTGTTTACGAAATCACGAAGTTTCTCCCGGCATGCAAAAACGTATACCTATTGTTTCTGACGAAAATGGGGAAAACAATAGCGAAGAAGGAAATGCAAGGCAGAGTTTAAAGGAAAAATCCTTGGATAGCAAACTACCACTCTCTTGTTCAATTCTTGAGGGACAAAGAGTAAACTTAAGAGAGAAGGCTGGGTTAAACAAACAGCGGAAACAAATCCGAAAACATAGTGAGCTTCCACATGCAGAGAAAGAAAACAAGTTACCAAATCAAAGTGACACTTCTTCGAAAGACCCTGATCATATTAAAACCTTTTTAATGAAATCGATGTTAACACGGAGAAATACGTCTGATACAGTTTCAGTAAACACTGGAAAGCGGAGTGACAGACCCGTATTTCACCTACCGAAGGCAGATAAATACGATATCAGCCCTCGAGGTCTAATAGACAACCAAGTTTGCTCTGTTTTCAGAGTAAAGGATGTCAAATCATCATCGCTGTTTTACCCAAGTTTCAACAATGCTTGGAGTCCAAACCGGGACAACTATAGAATTAAACATTCGGTGTTTAAAGCTTTCGCACAGCAACCTGCAGTGTTTATAAGGGAACCATCCCCAGTGGCTGGGGTGAAAATACATTTAAAGGAACACGAGGATTCGTTCACACAAGCGATTCAGGCTGTTGAAAAAACAAACGCACTAACCTCAGCTGTTGACACAGCAGTGACACGACAAGTTAAGAAATTTGTTGTAAGATTACCACCAATTTGCTGAAAAGTATGTTAGTTTGTACCAAAAATAGTTTTGTATCGCAGTTTAGTCTTTTCGTTTGGCTAACATGTGACGTCCACAATTAATTTAAAACTAAAAATATTATTTAGAAGTACATTTATCAACGTCGTTGTTGTTCAGAAGGCTGCTTAATTTTAATGCAATATTGGACCAACTAACTTACCAATTTCTCTCGCCCAAGAGCATAACCTCAAGTCCACATTCTTCCTTTCCCCGGTGGGTAGGGTAAGTTTACGGTTCTCGCAACGTCATCACAAGGAAAGACTGAGCCAAACTAGTTCCCAGTCGTGTTAAATTACGAGCGGCTGAAGATGTCGCACAGTAGGTATCAAAATCCTTTAATCCTCTATTAATCTGTTCAGTTGTCAACAAAGGATTATGCAGTAGTGTGAGTTACAATTTTCTGCTTTGTTTCGCTCTAAAATGGTTTGAAAATGTCTTGATAATTCAGGACGCTGCTAAAAAACCTTTTTGCTCAATTCAGTGAAACAAAGATCACTTTCCTGAGCCCAGTCTCTCTGCCTCTCGGCAATCGAGGGCTCGGAATTTATTAAAGATCATGAATTTTTGCTTTCTACAAAAGAGAAGAGACTCGATCACTCACTTGTTTTATTTCAGGTAAAAAAAAAGTCGCGTCGCAGTAGGTTTTATCATATTGGCTTTGCAAATATTATGAAAGAATCTCTTTATAACAGATGAAGAGTTACAATTGGATAAAATAATAAGTAAACTGCAATTTAACTCTGTCCATCTCATTTTATCGGAAACTTAAGTGAACCTTTCAAAATTAATCTGTCAGCGATGAGATTAGTGACCATTAATCCGTCTAGGAGAGTACTATTTTTAGACTGATAAAATCACTCAGCTGTAAAAGTTAAGAAATGTTGGCGCCATTATTAACAACTACTTCCGTCGCCTTAAATTACTGTTTCAGCCAGTTTGTATAATTACTTGTGAGAGATGTCTATTTTGATCAGAGCTTAAAAACGTGCACAATCTTTTACAACATATTTCGACTAGCGTTCTATCACAAACGATGCATTCTGATTGGCTGTATGTCAAGTAAGAGATTACCCACGATTCCTCGATGCCAGTCATCTCTCTGTAGTCCCCTTTTATACTCTGCTGGCGACGACTGATCCTCCCTCTGTTCCCCCCTGAAAACCATGTGATCCTCGAAAATGCTCCACCCTCCCCCCCTGACGATAAATATAATCTGGCCCCTAAAATCATTCGCTCTCGATTTCTATCGCGTGATAGCAAGTTTGCACTTCGCCTTTATGAACTATCACGCGATAGAAATCTCAAGCTCATAATCTCATAATTGGTACAGAAAGCAGGTAGTATTTAGCGACCACACGCGAAGAGAGTCAGTGGACGTGCAATTACGGTTACTACTGCTCCTTGATTAAATCACAATGAATCAACAACACAACCACGCAATCAAAATATCTCAGCGATCGGCACATTCCCTTAAAAGACCGACGCTCAATTTTAGACATTTCTGTCGAATTATCTGTCTGATGGAATTATCGAACGAATCACAAGTTTCTAATTATTTACGGACTGCCAGATAAATTAAATAAATACATTGAGCTAGGATCATCTTAAAATCACAGAGATTATGCCATCGAAGCAATTACCCTTGATCTGAAAGATTATTAGCATAGAAGATTAAAAGAATAGATGACAGTGAATTTGACAAGATAATGCTTTTCAAGACAAATTGCGCTCCTATGTTAAATTGAGGCAAAATTTTATAAAACCGTCTGAAATTCCGCCCCGGTCTGAAACGAACTCGTGATGCCGCGAAGAGTCCGCAGCAATCTAAGCCTGACTGTTACAGGAACAAACCCGTTTAAATCAACGATAGAAAAAGAAGCAAAGTCGGCCGATGAAACTTTCAATTCATTTTATCAACGAGCGTCTGGAGAGAAAGAAGAACCGAAGGCGGAAGCGAAAGTAAAGCTCAAGTCCAACCCAATATTGCCCACTATCACAAAACCTAGAAGATTTTATAAAGAAGATTCAAAAGATTGTCAAGATCTTTTCCAGGTACGGTATTATGACTGTCCTTTTCAAGGAGCTAGAAAGTCAAGGAACAGTTCACACCGTTCAGGAGACTCCAAGACTTCGAGACACACTTCCTCATCTGATCAGGTAAACCATCGTGATGGTGATGGTTTACCAAGATTTTACCAGAGCTTTGTTCGGCCTTTGCTACAGGCCACTGTACTTGAAGGCCAGAGAGTGAATTTGAGGGGAAAAGATGAATTGGACTGTCAAGAGACACAGCCGCCCCACTGTCCACCTCACAACAAAGAAATTTATACACCTTGTCCTCAAAATGATTCAAGGTGCGAAATCTTTGTTGAAAGTATACAGTCCAAAATAAGTTCTTTAAAATCCAGTGATGAGGAAATGCAACCGATATTTCACCTGCCAAGAGTGAATAAATACGATACATCACCTGGAAACATAAAAACCAACAACGTCTTTTCGGTGTTTCACCTTAAGGGTTTTAAATCGACGCCGATTTATTCGAGGTCTAGAGACAGTTGGGTTCCACACCGTGATAAATACTATATGAATAATTCAGCTTTCTTTCAAGCACTCTTTCAGCAGCCTCTCGTGTTGCTAAGGCAACCATCGCCTGTGGCAGGAATTAAAATGACTTTAAAGGAGCACGAAGATTCTGTTATAGCTGCCATTCAAGCTGTACAGCAAACAAACACCAAAACTTCAACTGCTGAGACGAAGTTGACTCAGCAAGGAAGAAAGCTTGTTGTTACGTTGCCGCCATTATGCTAAGCGTATGATGCGCCTGTTTGATTAAATGAGAAGATTCAATAAGTGCTTGCCTTTGGTAAACGTTTAAGAGAAGAGTTTGTCGAGAGAGGAAATCTAAGCTTTAAGTAAAAAAACGGGAATGGATTTAAATAATCCTTAGCTGTCAACAGTAAGTAGTGTTCGTAGGAAAGACATTTCTCTTTTCCATCGCTTCTATCTAACGCGAGGCCGGGAAAATTTGACCAAAGACCAAAATCGACCTATCTAACACTTTATTTTCACCATGAAGCACTGAGTTACAAAGCGATGATAGTTTGTCTGCAAAAATAGTTAATTCCACTATTTGCCATTTCCTAGGCTTTCAATCGCTGTAACGACTGAAAAAATTTAGCCTCTTCTGAAGAAAATATTTCCCATTAAGGAAAAAAGTGTCTTCTCACGAAGCTTACTTACGGAAATAAAGTACCATCTACATTACAAGGTTGTGTGCCAATAAATTTAAAGCTTCAACATCCTCCCCCAGGGCAGTGAACAAAGGGGTGAGGAATTTGAACAAAAAGTGTCAAGTCTTTCGCGAACGAACGGTCCAAAAGAAAAGGTCTACAACATCTAGGTTTCAAAGCTTCGTCAATGTGTTGAAAGTTAGGATTTCTCAGGGAAGAGGGGGCGATTTTGAAGCTTCGAATTGATCGACGCATCGCATTAAATCGCCCCATTCAAGTCTTACTTGCTTTTTCCAATTGTCAATGATGCATATATCGATATATCGTGTTTTCATTGAACTTTACCACTAGGACCCACAATCCTCTAGGCAAAAATTGAACACTGTGCAAATTATTGTCGAATTTTGAAGGCAGTTGAAAAATTAGTAGCGGTGGGATTGAAACTTAATCATAATGGATTATATTATTTGGAGTTAATATTTTTTATCAAAACCTCTGGATTCCTCGATTTCGCTTTGTTCGATCCAGTTAGTGTCAAAGAATGCAAAGTTAACTTTAACACATACAGCGAAAACTCAAATTTTGGGAGTTAACTATTATGGTAGTAGTAGAGCATATGTGTAACAATTCATCCCAACCCCTACCCCACCGTGACAACTATTGTATTTATTGGTCCTTGGCCATGGTTTTCTTTACTTCTCGCTTGGCCAATGCCCCAAGATGCACCTCATCAGGGCCGTCCGCGAGTCGGAGAACACGAGCCCACGACCAAAACTGAGCTAGCGGCTGATCGGAAGAAAGACCTGCACCACCAAATGCCTGTGAGATATTTGTGAAAATGATATGATCATAAATGAACGTTAGGTCGTTTATCTCACAATTTACAGTCAATATCAACTGTAGAGTCACGCTACCAATTGAAGATCGCGACATTTCGACTGTTATATTGCTAGCCTAAGTCAGCCAATGATTTTGAATCATGTCGCTACTTATATAGCGCAATGCCTCATGGTTACTGGGTCTTTGCACATTTACGGCACAAGCTTCAACAAGTTGTTTTACAAACCTGCATTGCTCTGTCAACGACATTTTGAGCCATTCTCGGAGCGACAACTTTAATCATGGCGATCTCCGGTGCAGCGGCCTAAAAAAAGCGATAAAAATGATCAGACCGGAGGAATGTTATGGACTCCTGCGTGAAACGGATTTCTACCTTATTTCCTACTGTATCCATTAGATGAGCAGCTTTTAGGGTCAGAAGTCTGCAAAACAAGATAAATCAATTTAAACTGAATAGTGAAGTGTCTTGACATTCTAAATAAATGCACACAGGTCAAATATTCCTTAGAAATAGAACTCTAAAGTTCCTTTCCTGATATTCATAAGGTGCTAATAGAATGAAAGAACTCGACAGTAAAATCAAGAAGATATCCACTAGCTTTGTACAGAGGATTCGGACAGGTCTTAAATTAATCACTTCTGATCACTGAACTGATAGAGAAAATAGAGACACTACAACGCAGGGTTAGCAGTACACTCTGTCTTGTTTGACCCACCTGGCTTGTTCGATTTCTATTCTAGACTCAGCAATGTCTTGCAAAATAGTTCCTTGCTCTACAAGAGGTTTGCCAAAAGCCACTCTTCTTTTGACCTACATGAATGCGTAATTTAAAAAAAGCATTGTATGAAACAATGTTATGGTAGTATTTGGTACAAAAACGAGTTACCGACAACAACGACTACTTACCCTCTCGATCATTAGCTCCAGGGATCTCTCGGCCTGTCCTATCAGACGCATACAGTGGTGAATACGACCTGGGCCCAAGCGACCCTGAAATGTCCATCACGTTATCAAAGAGTTCATTTATATTTCACTGGGATTGATATAAGAAAGCTCAATCAAGCAAGTGAAACATGGACTCATAGTGAAAGAGATGAGAGAAGAGAGATAGAGAAATATAAATACGGTGAAGACGAAGGAAGAAAGAGAGCGGAAGGGTAGAAGGCAAAAAATAGCCGCTCAGTTGAGACGAAGAGGAGACAGAGGCGGAAAATTCTGATTTTTATTTTGTTACTAACCTGGGCAATCTCAAACCCTCTCCCAGGTC